ATAGCAGTCTTCTTACACTGAGCTACTAAGAACTGACTTACTAGTGCAGAAAGATATTGTCTAGCTCACATTTGCACTCTACTTCTTTTCATATATCTTCTTGGAAACAGAGGACAGAAATGAACACCCTCCTTCTACTCATCTATGCCTTTATAATCAAGTTTGCCTTCTGCATTGGTCTCTTTGAATGAAAGGACAGAAAAAGCAAGAACTGCAGCAGTTTGTAACACTCTGCAGGCAGCGTCAGTTTAATTTATACTGAGTAGCTGATGCTGAAGATTTTTCCAAGAAACAGTCATCAAGGGATGATCCAATCCTGATACCTGCATGAAGGCATCTGAGACTCAGCTCAGTTGTCCCACGTATAGGTGTCCAGTGCTGCTAGAGGTGTCTCAGGTGAAGTGAGAAATCCCATGGCAGGTGACACAGGACCTATGGAATACTTGAGCCCCTCTGGAGCAGCAGCTGGGGAATATCAAAGGTCTCTAGATACCTCTAATGGGAAACTCAATTGAGTCTTCAGTGTCTGTAAAGAAACAGAAGTAATACTAGTTTTCTCTAGTTGTAAAGTGCAGAGATAACCTTATTTCTTAATTGATGTGATCTGTGTATGATGACAGGCTGTTTTGCTCCCTCCTAATTGTTTTAGCATTTGATTGCAATACATATGCTCTTCTTTCAATAGCAGATCTTAGATTGCTCTAAACAAGTTAATTATATTTCACAACACCCTTGTGCATTAGGGAAGTATTAATATTCCCGTTTTGCCGTCAAGGAAAAAGGAAGGAAAAGAAAGGGTAAGCGGCTTACTGAAGGTTAAACAGTAAGTCAGTGGCAAAATCTGAAGAGAAATTCCAGACTCTCAACCACAGAATTGAATTCCCCACAGACCACTAACTCCCACGTTAAATGTAAGGATGATAATAAATGCATGGTTATAGGGTTCCAAACTGCAGAAAGCCATCCTACACAAACGATGTCTTTGTGAAAGGACGCGGGAACATGTATCAAAACCTCAGAGTTCCAAAAGGTCAGTGTCGAGATAAACATCTACCTGGAAATTCAAAAGGCTTTGACATTCATATCACTGCAATGACAGCAAAAAACTGCAGGCACAAAGGATGGAACAAGGCTGAACTCCATTTTCTGCCTACTAAGAGCATCACCAAGATAGACATCCTTCCCTTGGAGAAGACATCTCATCATCACCCTTCAAGACAGTCATGCTTGGGGATAATTTCTGAGCATATTGGAAACAGTCTCATCTACCCTTCTTTTCTACAAAGAAACAACAATTTTAAGCAGATAATTCATGAGGAAAAAAAATTGATATTGCTGTAACATCCAGATGTCTCAGTTAGGATGAGGGACCCACAGTGTTTTAGGTACTGTATAAGAATATATGTGCAAAGAGATTATAAGCCATTTTAAGCATGGACAACAGGTGGGTGTAACAAACAGCAGGAGGAATGCAGGAAAGAGGGGAGATGAGAACAATAATTACAAGAATTAATGTCTTCATATGCTGCTATAAACCCAATCTTATATTCTGAAAAGTATAGATGGGATTGTATGAGGTATGAAACTAAAAATCTGGTCTTTCACTGATTTCAGTTATTATTGCTTTACCTGAATTGCATCAAATGGGAGAAGCAAAAATCAGTGATAGGCAGGTCAAATGTTTTATGATTGTGTATATCCAGGCTGATTCCACCAGTAAGGCAAATGGCAGGCTTGTTTTTTAAAATGTAAGGCCAGGTAGTGTGAGATCCTGTACCCCTACTCGATGTATCCAACTCCCCCTAAAACATTCTTGAGGTGCCTGCTTGGGTCTTTTACTCATTTCTTACCCCATTCACTCACTGTATATGAATAGTATGGTATTTAATCAATATATATGAGGTTCTAGGACATATTTCACATTGGATTGTTAGGGACAAGTCCCAGTGACTTTTGCCATGGAGTTTGATCTGTTTGTTAATGGGATTATATAGCTTGATTTCTTGGGATAGTAGGGGACTTCACTGGAGGAATCTGGACCCTATATACCTCCAGGTTTATGAAATATTTGGTTTATCTAGAAAACACACTCAGCATTTACAGGGAACACACAGATATACCCTATACCAAAGACAAGTGAAGATACTACACAACAGGATAAAAGCACAGTTTAGTCTCCATGCCCTGTTCATTCCAGTTTAATGGCTGAGAAATCAGCCTCCCATTAGCTGTCTGTCAGACACCATCCCTCATGTCAATTCTATTCTTTTAAACCTGTTCTCTCCACAAAGTCTTTCTATGGTATATTGATCTTTGCTGACGTGAACTGAGAATACCAGGTTTATGCCAGATGAAAGCTACCAGCAGACTCTAATCTATTTATCTATGTTAATATTTATAGTTCAGTCAGCATTATGGAGTTTGAGCATTAACTCATTTCAATGACTATCATTCTGACCTGGGTTCAAACCAGCAACATCATCGGTCCCAAGCCAGACATATCTCCACAACAAGGGCCCTGGCCTTTAGAAATGTGTATAGTTTCTAGAAAACATTGCCTGGAATAATAAGATCTAAGCAATCTTTGAGATACCATTGCTCCCATTTACATCGTTGGACTGCTAGCTTGCCTGCCAGGAACATCAGTTGATATAGTTCAAGTACTGTTAGCACAATTTAGCACAATTCCTACTAGACAAAACTGTGGAAACTGCACGTTCTCTGTCTGACGACCAGAACAGGGCACAATCATACAATACGCACTGAAATGAGCCTGGTATTTGTGTGTAAACATTAACCGGACATGAGCTCTGCTTTTAATACCTGGGACTCTTTGTATCCTTGCACCACCAGCTTTCTACATGTTGATCCTTGTATCTGAGAAAAGCTACTTCATTTCTTAACTCCAGGGATATCACACAGGATGCAAAACATAACATCATTCTTCACAGGTACATGCACAGAACAGACTACATATGTGACTGTAAATCAAATTCATTTTAGGGCTCTAAGTGATTTTGTGTAGATCTTTGCTAACATTTATATCTACGTAAATATATTTTCATTTCAAAAAGAATGGAGCTCTGACCTACCTTGTCTTCTACCCACACCACTAATTCGTCAGTGGGACTATGTGAGTACAATGTCATTGCACTGTTCCTCTATTGGTTAAAGGATTGGGCCTTAGACAACTTTTCCTTACCAATTTGCCTTTTTCCATTCCACCAAATTTTATCTATTTCCTGAGTCCCTTGGAGAATTAGAAATTAACATTTTTTGCTTCCTTCCTGGCTATACATTAGCATCCTTGCTGCCTGGCTAACGAAGTCAATACACTGAGGGGAAATAACAGGTAGGATTCTGCAGTCCTCAGCAGGGATTCAGCTTGGCAGAGACGAAACCTGCTGGGTTTGAGGTCTTTTACCTGTTACAGTACTCTATGGTTTTGGGCACATTAGTAAATTGTGACCAACCACCTGTTGAATCCATATGCTTTAAAGCTGATTGCCAAGCAAAGGAGCTGCATACAGAATGCCATCAGTACAGCCTCCTGTGTGCCTTGTCAGGGGAAGGGAGGAGAGGGCTTTTTGCATTAAAAGGCATTTTGCAATACATAAAATGAATTAGAATGAAGCAATGGCAAACACACATTCAGAAAAGCACCTGGCAAGAGCAAGTTTTCGCCACACAGAATTTTGACCCTAGGATAAGGCATATACTGTTATTAAAATAATCAAGTCTCTGTTAGCACTACTATCCATGTGTTCGTTGTGAAGCTGAGGGCGGAGGAGGCTGATCTGTCAGTTTCAGCCTTCACCTAATTAAAGATGTAGTAAGGCTTAAACTAAAGCTTAATTGTGTATACTATTCAAACAGCACAGCAGATCTGCTCAGCAGAAAGATGTCTGTTCTGCCGTATTCCTTCTACACCAGAAGAAACTGTTTCTAACGTTTCATTTTGTAGATGTGAGGGCACGGAGGATGACAGACAAATTGACCACTAAAACCAAACCTGCGGAATACAGATGAATAATCAAAGCCTGTGCTATCACTTCATACTTCCTGCAAGCACTGCCGTACAGCAACTGGCTGCCAGCAGTTCTGCTGCAAACCTGAGCATATGGCTTCAAGTTGCTGGGCTCCTGTACTGATGCACAGAAATATGACACACCAGTACACAAATTACCAGTAGGGTTTTTTTCAGTCACTTCTTCTGTAGGTTGCATATGAACCTCCTCCCTATGCCAGGAAAGGAGAGCATTTCATTATGGTTTATTTTAAAACACCACTAGGATCATTTTATTGAAAACCACTGCACTGGCGTAAATCTCCATCCACCATCACACAAACACACTCCCCAAGACAGACTCCAAACCTAACTATAGAGTTAATCAAACTATCCACTCGGGCCGATCAATTCTTAACAGGACAGAGTAAAGAGTCTAAAGGTCCCTTTGAGGTCCATTATTTAATGTGTCTTTTTATATCGTCTACACTATGGGTTACGTTGCTGCAGCATTTTGCTCCAGTTGCTTGCCAACAAACATTTGCCATCAAGGAGCCCTGAGCAAGCAGTCACATCTGTGTCCACTCCTGTACCACCCATTTAGCAGAGACAATGATCACTAGAAACAACAAAGGAGCCACAGATAAAACAAACAATGCTGTGAGCCAGAGATCACTGCCATCCCAGGCAAGTTTGCCATGGAAATACTCAAGAAAAAGGGAGGGGAGGGAAAAGAGATATCAAATATAGAACTATAAAACTTACACCTAGAAGAGGTTTTACCCATGCACCCACCCAACCCCACATCTGAGGAGCATTTTCTAACACACTGCTAGGATCGAGCAAGAAAGATTGAGCAGTGCACATGGGAAGCAGACAAGCATCCAACGCCTCCTCCCATTTGGAGTCAAATAGTCTCCTACGAGTCACTAGACACAAGGAATAATAATAACTGTTATTCTTACAGTCATGATAGTAATAGAGAATCACCAACCTTGAGGATCCCAGTTGACCTGTTTTCTTGGAGTCTCGATTGGAAATTTCATCGCTTCCTTTTTGCACAGGGAGGAAAAAGAATTAAATAAATTCCCAACCTTCCTGTCTCAATGCTGCAGTCAAACAAATTAATTTCAAATTATAGGGAGCCTGCGCTGTTTGACTGAGGGGAACTGGTGGTTGCCAAGGAAAGAAATACACAAATAAATCAAAGAAGGTGGCGCCGGGCGGGGCGGGGCGGGGAGCGGA